AATTCGCTTGCGTAGCGCGATAGTTGACTAATAATTTTCAAGAATTAATTTTTTCAAATGTAGTAATTTCTCAAAAGTACTACAAATAATTGATTATCATGATTTCAGATTCACTTGCGAGGCACAATTATGATAATTAAATTAATTAACTTTGTTATTCGATCACGCATTCACTTGCGTAGCGTGGTTATGACAATGTAATTTATCCAAACATTTTTTTAATAATTCTAATAATCAACAATAAAAGCGGACATAGGCAAACATGAAAATCAAATGAAGCACAGTTTATCCAAAAATTAATTCAAGCCGGTTTTAGTCAATAAAATTGACCGTGCTAGAAACACGGGACTTGGGGAATGCCTTACACCTTCTCTCCGGTCAACAGAATTTCTTACTCGGACTTTGTTTTCGCAGACCAATAATAATAGAGCCAAACCTTCCTTTGACTAGGGATTCAAATAAAAGGTGACGTGGAACACCCAAAAATTAACTCCAATTGGCGGCTCTGAACAATAAAATAATCTCAACTCAAGTTAGTCACTTTAATTGGAAAAACTCTTTAACCCACAATTCCTAACACATCTTTTTGGGATAGAAAAGGGGTGTGACATATGGTAATCTCTATTTCGTATTTAATAATTGTTGGTTAAATTTTGTCTTTAATTCATTATGTATTAAGCTTAAGACTAGGTGTCATCACGATATTCTATGGAAAAAATTGGGGTCGTAACAGTTATATAACAGACCCTTTCTCCTTTAATTGAAATCAATTTCAATACAAAAAATTTCCCTTCACTTCTTCTCTCTCTCAACTGATCTACACGTTTTCATGTCAATTATAGGTGGCTAACGGGCCGGGTTGACCCGGAACCGGACCGACCCAGACCGGTTAAAACCGGAATCGGACCGGCCCAGTTCATAAGGGGCCGGGTGGGCTGGATAGGAGGAGTGTAGGGGGTTTGAATGTTTATTATTTTTTACCGGTTAACCGGACCCGTTAAACCCGGTCCGTATGAACATTACCCTAACTGGTTTAACCGGCCCGGTTTAACGGCTAGTAATTTTTTTTTTGTTTTTTTTTTTATTTTTTCGATTGTGTGGGGCCCATTGACCGTTGGCAGCAGTCAGAAATTGAAATGATCCGTTAGCCAACGGATCAATTGCAAAAATAGCCAATTTTTTTTATTTTTAACCCTTTTTTATTTTACAAAATTAACCTTCTCTAAAACTATAAATACCCCCCCCCCCCTCTTCTTCATTTCTTCAGTCAAATCTCATTTCTCAATCTCAATTTCTCTCATTCTCTTATTCTCCAATTTTCAAGACTTCAAATCTTCAATTCATCTTCTAATTTTATTTGGCTCTCTTTTCTTGTATTTAATTTATCGTGTTTTATCATTCGGGTTTTGAAGTTTATACAATTGAAATACTTGTTTGACGTTTGTTCGTAGTAACATCGGAATTGCATAATCAAGTGCTCAATTTATTGTCGAATTCGGTGCACTCCCTCCAACTCTTTCTCTTATTTAATATTTTAATTGCATATTTATTTTTAGCTTATACTTTAAACCTTTCAATTTGTAAGTTTGAAATTTGAAATATGAAATAAAAGTAGCACATAAGTGCAATTTTTTCTCATCTTCCTTGTATTCTTTAAATTAATACAAAGTATTAATATAACTTACAATAGTTATACAAAATTCCAAAAAAAAAATTGAAAAAACACAAAACCCGGCCCGGCCCGGTCCCCTCAACCCGTAACCCTTACGGTTCAATTTTTACCCGGATGAACCCGAACCCGTTAAACTCGTTAAGACCAAGCCCGGAACCGGCCCGGAACCAAACCCGTACGGGTCCAAAAAACACAGGCCCGGACCGGCCCGGACCACCCGTTTAACACCCATAATGTCAATTAATCTTTGAATATCCGTAAGAATTTAGCAATAAGTATTAGGACGATATAATCAAAAGGGAAAAATTCAACAGTCCCTTCATTTAAAGTTGAAAATATAATTTGTTGCTTTTCGATCCTATTTTAAATGATGACAGCATCAGGACAAAGCCCAAAACCATTTTTGGATATAAAAGTGTCAATTTGGTTTGCAAAATAAAATATTAATTCGATGACGGAAGGTGATGTTTTACAAACCAAGGAAGACATTCAGACTAAAAAAAAAGAAAAAGAAAAAGTAATGTAATACTCCTATCTTATATGAAAAATATTCTCATCACTCTAGATTTGATAAGTAACGGCCTGCCATAGCCTTATAAGATATAAAAGAATAGGAAAGGATTTAACTAAATTAAACCGCTAGCTAGTATGTTGACACAAATCGGCCATTCACCAATTAATTACGACAGATGGAGAAGTTGACTCCACAATGCATCACTTCCATGATATGTATAGGAGCATATCATTTGGACTATATATATAATAACATTTTTCTATTGTTTTTAAAAAAGAAAAATATTTCTTTCCCTTCCTTTTCTCTGTGTTGTACAATTTTGACCATTGCGAAGTACGGCCATTAATTAAAAGTTGTAGCTTACATATTCCTACCACCTCGTTTGACTTTTCAGCATACATTGTATTCATATATTGTTTTAAGAGAAGATGTTCTCTCAATTGCTTACGGAAATAAATATAATATCGTGTAACATTCCAATCTACCAATAATAATATGTATCTTTGAGTTTAAACTTGCACTACAACGCGAACACCAGAGTTTAACTCTTATAGCCTGTTTGGCCAAACTTTTTTTTGGTCAAAAGTATTTTTTTTTTTTTTGCCAAAAGCACTTTTGGCCAAAAATTTAGGTGTTTGGCCAAGCTTTTGGAAGGAAAAAAAGTGTTTTTGAAGAGAAGCAGAAGCAGTTTTGGAGAAGCAGAAAAAAGTAGCTTCTCTCCAAAAGCACTTTTTTAAGAAGCACTTTTGAGAAAAATATACTTAGAAGCAGTTTTTTAAAGCTTGGCCAAACACTAATTGCTGCTTAGAAGTGCTTTTCAAACTAATTAGCCAAAAATACTTTTGAGAAAAGCACTTTTGAAAAAAAGCACTTCTCAAAATAAGTTGATTTTTTCAGCTTGGCCAAACGGGCTATTACTTTCTTATATATCGGTCTTTTGCGTGTGTCTCAATTTGAGATTTGACTAGAGTGTTACATATAGTGTTATTTACCTCGAAAATACGAGTAACAATAAAATTTGATTTGTGGTTTTAAAGATATGTGATTAAATTCAATACCAATTAGTATTCAAGAAATATGAATTAGAAATGAAAGAAACAAGTTAATCAAACCAATGTTACTCACCAGTAGTGACCTCGAGATGGATTAAGAGCAATAAAGTAAGAACAATAAATGTAAAGGACAGTTCTGATGAACAGTAAGAGAGAAAAGTAGGATAGGTATATTCTTGCCAATGATGAGATGATGTTACAAATGATTGGGGTCCCCTTTATATAATAGGGGAACCCTAAATAAGGCATATTTCTATTTACAATAGGGAATATTCTTGGTACAACTGTCTAACCGCCTAGTACGGAATCGTACAATCCTATTTCGGGATTTGCGCCATGATCTAGGGGACGTGGCAGGAATTTAGCTCAATCTGTTACAAATCCATATTGGTACTATTTCGAGGTCGAGCATACTCGGCCTCGGTATGCATCGCACTCTGTCCTCGACCTTTGCTCTGGTCCCTCAAGCTCGAACTTGATCTCAGTTGAACTCGGGCTTTGGGTGATTTCTCGAGCCTATAGATCGAAGGCATACGATCTCGATCGTATACAGATAGTCCCCGCATTTCTTAGAGTAAGATGATAAGAAACGATTTGAACCTCGATTCCTTGGATCTATAATGATGATGTCATTTCTGTGATGTAGGCACTCGAAGTGAGTGAAACGTCCCGTCGGTTCGCTTCCCCAAAATATTAAATGCATGCCAGTACTGGTCGGCCATTAGCGCCGCTGAACCGTCGTCTCCTTTTGTATAACTATGAGCCTACTTCTTTGAATGAAGGACTTTACTCTCATCACTTTTACTCTCATTCTTCTTCATTTCTTTCTCTAATGGTATGTTTCTGCCGCCCCCTTTAAGCGCCGAAAAATGTCAAGTTCCCGTAAAATACCACGTTCTGCTACCATCTGTATTCTTTAGCTTAAAATCGTGGCTAAAACTTCCAAAACGGTTCCCAAAAAAGATAACGCGTTATCTTCTTCTACCTCCCAGCCGACCAAACTGGTAGTGCCGCCGACTCTTGAAGAAATCACCCCCGGCCCTTGCGTGATTAAGAAGTACTTCAATATTGAAAATCACCCCGATGTTCCAGGTCGATTTGAGCATGCATCTTGATATCTTATTTTGATATTGAAGAAGTACCTCAAAGCAATGAAGAGGGACTGCGGCTGGGGAGACGAGGTCCTGGTTCAGATCCCGAGCTCCGAGGAAAGCATTACTACCCACGTGGAGGGTTTTTTAAGTGTTTACACTTACCCCTTCATACTGGGTCCCCTCGATCCGGTAGTGATCGACTTCTGCAAAACGTACGAGATCACCCTCGACCTGATTCACCCCTCCTTTTGGCGCATCGTGATCATGCTACGATACTTTTCCGAAAAGGTCGAGGGGTTGGAATTCACCCTAAATCATACGATTCGATTGTATCGGCCCCAGCAATTTTGAGGGCTTGTCAAGCTGTAACGTTAAACAAAGAAAACCTTCTTTGCTGGTAACGACGAAACCAAAGATCGAGGTTGGATGAGTCGGTTCATTAGAGTAAGGACTTCGGATGTCATCCCCAGGGATAAATGTCGTTCCCAGAGAGATGGAACTCTAATCGTAAGTGGAGTTCTTCTACCCAGTATCTATTCATATTCAGCTTCCGTGTCTCATAATGCCTTTACCCTTTCTGCAGCCACTGCATGGGCGCCTCACGCGGTCCCCGACCTCGAGGACTGTGTTCGAAAGTTAGCTGCCACCTCCTCCTACGATGAGCGCAAATGGCGCGAATTATCAAAGGGCAAATGGGAGGCCAAATATCATGGTCAATTCTCTTCCCAAGTTTCAGATATTTTTCATTTGTTGGTGGCGTCCACTTATTCATGTTTATTCGTGCAGACATCGAAGATGTATCCGAAATGAGGCCAGCTCCGCCCGGGGAGAAGTCTGCATCCTCGACCCCGAAATCGGGGAAAGACAATAAAAAAAGGGCTTCGAAGCCCGAAGATTCCCAAGATGAGGCGGCACCTGCCCGGAAGCCGAGGAGAAGACTCATTCATGTGGACTTGGATTTAGCCATTCAACACCTGGAAGATGAAGAGAACAATGGTGAAGAATCAGCACTGGTACCTCGAACCAGAAAACCAATCGAAGCCGTCAATGCCTCCGAACCGGATGCCTTGCCACTCGATGAAGGAACTCCGAATAGAGACTCGGGAAAATCCCTCGAGTCCCCCGAGATCGAGATCGTACCTCCTTCTTCAACAAATACACCGAAGGGGACAAACACTGAGAGGGCTGAAACTAGCCAGAGTGCCCCGAGTGAGGAGCTCGGGGCCATGACAACGGGTCACTCACTTTCTCTTCTAGCTTAGTCCGAGCAGACAATAAAGCATGCTCGGGCTTTGCAAACACCCAATCTGAGCAAGATCCTCGAAGAAGACCCCTTTCGGGATTGTTTCACCAGGGTTGACGATGTTGCTGACCTTAACGATGCATCCACTCTTTTCGAGGATGTCACGACCCCAACCCCGGTCGTGATGGCGCCCAACACACTGCTAGGCAAGCCCGGCCAACGTAATAACCTTAACCATTTCCTTACAGTTCTTGAATTAATTAACACAGATAAATCACTAAGTTATAACACTGGAAATCTGAAATAGAGTAAAGCAAGCGGAATCCCAAATATGAAACAACTACACAGCCCGAAGAATCCGGTGTCACAAGTCTGAGCCTCTAATACATGAGTATCAACCTACTACATATCATTCTCTAGAAATGCGGAAATAAAGCAATAAGATAGAAGGAAGATCAGGACTGCGGACGTCAAATGCAGCTACCTTGATATTCCCGGATAAGCTGCTAGGCAGAGAAATCCTCACACAGCCTCAGATGTACCTGGATCTGCACGCAAGGTGCAGGGAGTAATGTGAGTACTCTGACCCAATGAGCAATAAACATAAATAAAGGCTGAGAATAAGAAATCCTGAATATGCACAAAGTAATTCTATAATTACAGTAATTTAACCCAAGTAGTATAAAGCCAGTAAACCAATGAAAACAATCATGAAAATATCACAACAGATAAATAAGTGAATGACAGTCAAATATGAAATGCAACACATAATCTGGTACTCTCTAGTACCCGCTGCGGCGTGCAGCCCGCTCCATTTATTTATCGTCGACGGCGCTCACTAGGGGTGTGCAGACTCCGGGAGGGGCCCCTTACGGCCCAGGCGCAATAATAAGCCATCTCGTGGCATCAACTAGGCCCTCGGCCTCATATCAATATCAATATAATACCGCTGCGGCGCGCAGCCCGATCCCATACTCAGTCCAGAATCACATAAGCCCCTCGGGCATAACAATATAGTAATATTCAGCCCACACTTCATTAAAAATAATAATTAAGTTTCAAGTTTGAGAAAAAAGGTGGCTGAGTTTGCAAAACAGTGTAAAATACTAGGACTGAGTTCAATAATATGTAAAAATGGTAAGAAACCAGTAATAGCAATCCCCGAAGGATTCAATCAATTGTCACGAAGCCCAAATATAGCAATCAGCTCAATTTATAATGATAATAAGTAAATTTTCGTCAAATACGCAATATATTCCTCTACCGGGACGGACCAAGTCACAATCCCCAATGGTGCTCTACCCCAGGCTCGCTATCCGGCGTGCAAGTCACCTTAATATAGCACTACAATGTGCAAATTCGGGGTTTCAAACCCTTAGGACATCATTTACATCTATTACTCACCTCAAGCCGGCCAAAATCCTAGCTCGCTATGCCCTTGCCTCTCAAATCAACCTCCTCGCACGTCGAATCTGATCAAAACCACAATGAATACGTCACAATATGCCAATGGAACAATACCCAATCAAAAACAATCGAAAAATAGCAAAAATCTCGAAATTAGCAAAACCCGAGCCCCGGGCCCACTTCTCGAAAATCAGAAAATTTAACATCAACGGATTCCTTATCTCGCCGCGAGTCTATACATATAAAGATTACCAAAATCGGAGTCCAAATGACCCCTCAAATCCCTATTTTAGCTCTCTTAAGTTTCAAGCCCTAGTCCACCATTTTTACCCATTAATTTCTTGAGTTTTCAGCTCTAATCCATGTAATAAGACCATGAAATCGTGTTTTGAGTTCAAGAATCCATACCTTATCGAAACCCCTTGAAACCCTCTTCAAAATCGCTCCCAATTTTCCAAGTCCGGGTTAAAAAATATGAAACCCTTCAAAAATTCGCGAAGATGAAATTAAATAGCACTGCCCAGTCATTTCCGCATCTGCGACTCCATGGCCGCATCTGCAATTCCCGCTTTTGCGGTCAACAGGTCGCTTCTGCAGAAATAACCGCTTCTGCGGTCGAATTCCCGCATCTGCGGCTTTCGCTTCTGCGATCCAAGCGCTGCATTTGCGGAGACCATCAAAATACCCACGCTCTGCATCTGCGTTCCTTTTGTCGCATCTGCGACTCCGCAGATGCGATTACCAATTCCGCACCTGCGATCCCTGCCGCTTCTGCGGCTCTCCCCTCGCTTCTGCGGTCCCAATTCCGCAGAAGCGAAAATACCAGAAGCAGCTGCAAATTTTCTTAAGTTCACAAACCAAAACTTCCCGTTAACCATCCGAAATTACCCCGAGGCCCCCGGGACCTCAACCAAAAATACCAACACCTCCTACAACATCATTCAAACTTGTTCCAATCATTAAAATACCTCAAACAACACTAAAACCATCATTTCTCATCGATTTCAAGCCTAAGTTCTTTAAAAACTTCCGAAATACGCATTCGATCAAAAACCTAACCAAATCACCTCCAAATAGTCTGAAATTTTGCACACACGGAGCTACTGCAACTCTCAGAATTCCATTCCGACCCTCGGATCAAAATCTCACCTATCAACCGGAATTCGCCAAAATACTAACTTCGCCAATTCAAGCTTAATTCTACACCGGACCTCCAAAATTACTTCCGATCACACTCCTAAATCACAAATCATCCCCCGATGCTAATCAAATCATCGGAAACCATATCCGAGCCCTCTAACACATAAGTCAATGTCCGGTTCACTTTTCCAAAATAAGCCTTCCTTAAGAGACTAAGTGTCTCATTTCCTTCTAAAACCAAACAAAATCAACTCGTTCACACAAGACTCTTATAATGAAGCATAAGGAAGCAGAAAATGGGGAAAACGGGGCGGTAACTCACGTGACGACGGGTCGGGTCGTCACAGAGGAGGCTCAACATCTTCTTTCTCAAGTAAATTTTAACTTTCATTGTTGTAAATTCCTCTTCCCTTCCTTTCCTTTGACTGACATATCTTCATTTCATGTATAGGCCATCATCAAGCTTAGAGCTGAGCTGAGCCAATGTGAGGCCGAGCTCCGGAGGGTTCGGGTGAAGAGAAGGCCTTGAGGCTTCTCTGTGGCCAAAAAGAGGGGGAGCTTAAGGACCTTCGGGCTGAGTTGGCCAAAGCTCGCAAAAATGAGGCCGAGCTGGATGAGCAGGTAAATGTTATTTTAACAGGGTATGGTCTTCTTGGCCTTACTTCGAAGGCTAATACTTCGATGTCTCAGCTGCAGCAGAAGTTGGAGATGATTGGGCAGCTTCAGAGCGAGGTTGATCAATTTAAGGCTGACTGCCATAGGTGCATAAAGAACATGGATCAGCTCGCCGCCGATGAGAAAGCTGTTACAGCCTAACTAACCTTGGTTAAAACTCAACTCCGAGGCATTAAAGCGAAGGGTCTGGCCCAGGCCAAGAAAATCGAGCAGTTAGAGGCAGAGCTTGCTAGAGCACGGGCTGAAGCTGAACAAGCTAAGGCTGAAGTTGAGAAAACGAAGGCCAGGACTGACAAGACCATCGCTGTGTACTTAAAAGATGTTGCGGCTGTTCAAGCGAAGCTGAGGGAGGCCTCTGACCGGGAAAAACAGAGTAATGATTTGGCAAAGTGAGAGCCTGGAGGGAGACTCTCGAAGAAATCCACGCCCGAGGGTTCGACCTTACTAAAGAGATAGTCGAAGCAAAGGCGCGGGAAACTGATGCCGGGTTTCTTGTCTCTTCTGATGATGAAGATGTTGTGAGCAGCTCCGAGGGTAGGGAAGGTGAGGAAGGTGTTCCCTAGGAAGAGGAGGCTCTCGAAGATAGAGCTACCGAGGGTGCGATTCCCGAGGAAGCTGCTTCCGGGGACGTAACCCCAAAATAGATTAGGTCCTCTTTTTCTTTTTTGTGTAAGGGCCCCTTGTGGGCGTTGTAAATATATTTGTAAAACATCCCTCATGAATATAAAGTATCCTTTCGCTCTATCCTCGACTTGTGTTGAATTTTATTTTGTTCTCATTTGTGGAAGATTTCGATTGTATAACTCAAATAATCAATCTGAATATTGTTTCGTACGTAGAACATAATAAAACCTTAGGTTTTAATATAATACCCCTTAAGATTTTGTTAATCCTCGAGCTAAGTTTAAATTGATTTGATGTGAGCACGGGATGTCGGGATTCTCGAGTCCGAGTTGAGTGACAACGGGGTCTCAGACTCTATATGTTTTGGCCCTTAAGCCTTTTGAAGTTGGACCTTAGGCTGTTTAGGTTGGGTCGATTTGGCCTCTAAAGTGGCTATATAATTTTTCCCTCTTTTCGGCTAAAAGACTTAGTGAAAATTTTATTATTCCTTAGCATGTGTTTTTCGTACCCATTGGGATTTTCGAAGGTTTGACGAATCGGAACCTAATTAGTCTGTATAAACATAATGGAATACCCCTTGAGGTTTTTTTGAAGGCTGATATTATTGAAGCCTTTAAATTATTCGAGGGCTGTATTTATCGAAGCCCTTTATATTTTGCTTTTGCCGAGGGTAGCCTGATTTAACCAATTTTTTCAAAGTGTTTGAAAGCCTTTAATTTATGGCGAAAGTCGGACATCTCCAAGCCGCATTATTTCGGACTTAACCTTTTATATGACTGTAGTCTTCAATATGGCCTTAGCCTTCGAGCGTGTCTCTTGGACTTGTTTCCTGATAACCTTTCGAACTTGTTCGAAAAGTTAGTCCCTGAGTATATTGGCCTTGGCCTTTGTTTCGGGGGGATGCCTCTTTGAGGTCTTATGAGTCCGAGTTTTTGGTGAATCGGATGAGCTGACTGTCGATGACAGTCCTCGAGTATCTCGGGGTTGCTTTTGTGCTTTGGCTCTTGAGCCGTTTCCCGTAGGATTATGAGTGTAGAGTTCGTATAATAGTAGACTTCTTTGGGACACAAAGTATTTTTGACATAAACAGAATGCTTCTTCAAATGATTGAAACATGCGTACATGTTTTGCCGTCGGGGCTCGATTATTCTATACAGACACGCTTCATCTGACTGTTTGGCCCATTTTTCCTATCGAGGCCCTCTTAGGCGTGAAGTATTTTCCTCAAAAATATGATCTCTGAAGGTGATGCCCCCCAGTATTCGAGATTGATTGAAAAGAAGCCTTGGATACTGTTGAGTTCTTAGGTAGCATATAATTGTTGCCTCGTTAAAAACCTTACCGGTAAAACCTATTTGGAACAAAATTCGGTCTATGGGCAAAAGAGTGCAACACATGCTTTAAAACCTAAGGCCTTCGTGTAAATAAGAGGTGTCTTCAAGGGGTCGTCTTCGATATCTTCGATCGGAGACCTGCACTGAGTTAGCTTTAAACTCAAATGGACAAAAGGATAGAGTCATACCTTAGCAGTAGTATCGTTTGAGTAATGATACGTTCCAATTGTTTGGTGTTTGTTCACCTTCCATCGTGCTAAGCTTGTAAGATCCTTTACCGACAACTCTGAGGACTCGGTACGGTCCTTCCCAATTCGGGCCCAGTTTCTCTTCATTCGGGTCTCGAGTATTAAGGGTAACTTTCCGTAGAACTAAGTCCTCGATTCTGAAATGTCGAAGATTGGTCCTTTATTGTAATACCTTTCGATCCTTTGTTTCTGCGCGGCCATCCAAACGAGTGTTGCCTCTCGTTTTTCTTCTAATAGCTCGAGGCTTGTATTCATAGCCTCGTGATTTGAATCCTTCGATGCATGGCGAAACCTGGCGCTAGGTTCCCCGACCTCAACAAGGATAAGGGTCTCGAAGCCATATACCAAAGGAAACGGCGTAGCCCTAGTGCTAGACTTCGATGTTGTTCGATATGCCCAAAGAACCTCGGGTAGGACTTCTCTCCATTTTCCTTTTGCATCATCCAATCTTTTCTTCAAGTTTTGAATGATAGTTTTATTTGTTGACTTGGCCTGTCCATTTCCAGTTGGGTGGTACGATGTCGATAAAATCTACTTTATTTTATGTGCTTTGAGGAACTCTGTTACCTTGATGCCAATGAATTATTTTCCATTGTCACATGATATCTCGGCAGGTATCCCGAATTGGCATATGATGTGGTCCCAGATGAAGTCAATAACTTCTTTTTCTCGGACCTTCTCGAAGGCATGTGCTTCCACCCACTTAGAAAAATAATCATTCATAAACAAAATAAACTTGTTACCTGGGGCCGTTGGTAGGAGTCCGACTATGTCCATTCCCATTTCATAAAAGGCCACGAGGATAGGACCGAATGGAGTTGTTCTCCGGACTGATGGATCTTCGATGCAAATCGTTGGCACTTATCACAATTTTTGACAAATTCCTTAGTATCTTTTTCCATATTGTCCCGGTAATATCCTGCTTTGATGATTTTGCGAATCAAGGATTCGGCGGCGGAGTGATTCCCACAAGTACCTTCGTGGATTTCTCGTAGAACATAATCAGTGTCCCCCGGCCCCAAACATACGGCCAGTGGCCCATCGAATGTTCTTCGGTACAATGTTCCATCTTCATCTAATGCAAACCTAGCAGCTTTGGTTCGTAGGGCCCTCGATTCTTTATGGTCCGATGGGAGTTTTCCACTTTTCAAATAGTCGATATACTTATTCCTCCAGTCCCGCGTCAAGCATGTTGAATTTATCTTGGCATGACCCTCTTCAAGCACAGACCTCGATAACTGGACGACAGTCCCCGGGACGATGTCATCTTCTTCGACCGAGGATCCCAGATTAGCAAGTGCATCGGCCTCGCTATTTTGTTCCCGAGGCACATGATCCAGTGTCCACTCCTTCAAGCGGTGCAAAGTTACCTATAATTTATCCAAGTACCGTTGCATTCAATCCTCTCGAACTTCGAAACTTTTGTTCACTTGGTTTACCACCAATAGAGAATCGCACTTAGCTTCGATTGACTTCTCCTCCTAAGATTTTAGCTAACTTGAGACCTGCAATCATGGCCTCATACTTGGCTTCATTGTAAGTCAATCGAGAAGTTTTAATAGATTGTCTAATGTTATCACCTGTGAGTGGCTTCAAGACAATGCCAAGCCCAGGCCCCTTCACATTCGAGGCATCGTCTATGAAAAGGGTCCATACCCCTGATGATGTACCCGAACTTAGCAGGAGTTCTTTCTCCACTTCGGGTACGAAGGTCGGCGTAAAATCGGCCATGAAGTCAGCTAAGATTTGAGACTTGATGGCCGTTCGGGGTTGGTATTTGATATCGTACCGGCTAAGTTCAATGGCCCATTTGGCCAATCGGTCTGATAGCTCGGGCTTATGCAAAACATTTCGAAGGGGGTAGGTGGTTAATACACATATGGGATGACATTGAAAATATGGCTTCAGCTTTCTAGATGCGCTTATCAATGCAAGTGCTAATTTTTCTAAGTGTGGGTACCTAGTTTCAGCGTCTCCAAGAGTTCGGCTTACATAATAAACAGGGAATTGCGTACCTTGCTCTTCTCAAACTAGTACCCCACTTACCGCTATCTCGGATACCGCCAAGTATAGGTAAAGTTTTTCATCTACCTTCGGCGTGTGAAGCAAAGGCGGGCTCGATAGATATCGCTTTAATTCTTCTAAGGCTTGTTGGCACTTCGGGGTCCATGCGAAATCCTTTTTCCTTTTTGGCAAGGAAAAGAACCGGTGAATCCGATCCGATGACCTTTAAATAACCCGACCCAGGGCAGCAATTCTTCCTGTTAGCCTTTGCACGGCCTTCACGCTATCTACGATTGTGATATCCTCGATAGCTTTGATCTTATCGGGTTTAATTTTGATACCATGAAGTCGAGGAACTTACCTGAGCCAACCCCGAAGGCACATTTCTCCGAGTTAAGCTTCATGTTGTATTTTCTCAAAATTTTGAATGTTTCCTGCAAATGAGCTAAATGGTCCTCTGCGCGCAGGGACTTAACCAACATATCATCAATATAAACTTCCATTGTTTTACCTATTTGTTCTTTGAACATTTTGTTAATTAGGCGTTGGTATGTAGCTCCTGCATTTTTTAGCCCGAAGGGCATTATGTTGTAACAATAAGTTCCAAATTTAGTAATAAATGAAGTTTTTTCCTGGTCCTCTGGGTTCATCTGAATCTGATTGTACCCGGAGTATGCATCGAGAAAAGTCAGGATCTCGTGGCCGGCCGTAGCATCGATCATACGGTCGATGTTGGGTAGTGGGAAAGAATCTTTCGGGCATGCTTTGTGCAAGTCCTTATAGTCTACACACATTCTAAATTTTTTTCTTTTTTTAGGAACTACAACTACATTGGCTAACCACTCGAGGTATTTTACGTCCCGAATAGACCCTATTTTAAGAAGTTTGGTTACCTCGCGTTTGATGAAAGCATGCTTTACCTCGGACCGAGGCCTTATTTTTTGCTTCACCGCTTTGAACATAGGGTCGGTTCTTAGCCGATGTGTGGTGATTTCCAGTGGAATCCCAGTCATATATAAATGGACCAAGCAAAGCAATCCATATTATCAATAAGAAATTGACACTACAAGAAAGTCTATAATTTGCAACAACTTTTTAACAACAACAATGATATTGTTGCTAAATATCAATAAATGGCAACACCTCTATTTAGTTGTTGCTATATTGTAGAAATTTTACCCAA